CCTACTTTGCTTACTAAATGTAGCTTCCAGTAAATTTTAATAGTAGATAAGTGTGTATTCTTAGCTTGGGGAGGACCTTGCTCTCTTCAACCGGAGTGATGCTTTATAACGAAAAAAAGTAACGAAAAGCACGGGTATTATTTTAGTTCATGGACGGATATGATCACTTGCTATCAATTAACTTGTCTGCTGGTCTGCCCCACTCATATATATATATATAAAAAAACATGTGTGTGAGTGAGATTACTGGTTCCCAAAGTCCCTCCTCTTCTATTTCTGGGAGGGATTAATTGTGACTCTTGCGTTGCAGGTATCGATGGACATAGGCCGTCGTTGCCATCAGGCGACCAGTCTTATTGTTCGCCCCCTATATTAAATAAAAGGAAAAGAATAGTAACAGGCCTGTTGGTCTCGTGGTTAGTGACCCTGACTGCTAAGCTAGAGGACGTGTGTTTCCCACCCAGGACAAATATTGTGTGATCAGCAAGATCATTTGTTCTTTGTCTGGGTGTAATTTATCCATAATATGTATGTATTTAGTAATATATAAGTATGCTTATCAGCAGTCTGGTTACCATAGTACAAGATCTGCCTAATTTGGAATCAGACTACCGTGTGAGAGATGTGTATTATTATGTGTATATTATTATCATATTACATCGTATTTCTTGCCTTCGGGGAATATTTCCAAAGTAATAACTTAAAGCAATCGGGTCATTTTGAACACAGGAGTGATGACTGTTTCACATCCTGCAAACACCGATTAGTATACGGTTACGGCTCTCATAGTACTCGGTTTACTATAAGAGCGGTTTCCCACTACGTCCGATAAGAATCCGATGTGAAACCTTGAAAGTACGATCCGAAGCAGTCGTAGAACTGTTTTAATGGTAGCTTACTAACTAGACCCGTCTTCCGTCATCCGTTTTCTTTCCGTTTTCCATGAATCTTCATTCTGGACAAGATTATTGACGAACCAAAGTACTTGCCTTTTTCTGTGTCGTTCGTACGTACAATAGCATTGCCAGAAGTTGACGCCGACTCATGATCAACGTCGTAAATAGACGAATACTAAAAGGTGACCCTGAATTGCTTGGATTAGAATCAGATAATGCAATAGTTCGTAAACAATATACGAATTCCGTCACTCAGTCAGCCTTTTAAATCCGTAATCATGGATTAGAAATCGGAGGTAGTGTGAAAAGCAATATCCGAATTCAGCTCGAGATTTCTAGATCCGTATTTTCACGGGTTCGGATAGGACGTTGTGTGAAATACTGCGAGGCGCCAGGTCTACTGGTGGTCGCCGGAGATCGCACGGCTGCGTCAAGCCTGCGTGACCGCGCGCCGCCAGTGGTCCAGGTTCCGCGGGAGGCGTCGCCGCCCCGAAGATGCGGCAGCGAGAGAGGCGGAGCTGTTAGCGGGTTACAGGGTTGCCAAGAGGACCCTTCAGGCAGCGATAAAGCGGGCCAAGAGCGAGGCCCGCCGCGAGATGCTGGAGACACTGGAGCGGGATCCGTGGGGACGCCCCTACCGTATGGTTAGGGGCAAGATGCGCCCATGGGCCCCGCCGCTCACACGGTGTCTTCAGCCAGAGCTGCTTGAGAGGATCGTTGGCTCCCTGTTCCCAACGCGAGTGGTGGAGCATACTCCACCACAGATGGCTCCGCCTCCGGCGCTTGAGGCGCCTAACGTGGATAACGACGACGTGCCTGAGGTCACTGGGGTGGAACTAAGGGCGGCGGTGTTACGGCTTAAAGCCAAAAACACCGCCCCGGGACCCGATGGCATTCCTGGCCGAGCGTGGGTCCTGGCCTTAGTCGACGAGGCTCTCGAGCCCCGACTGCGAGGGTTCTTCAGCGCATGCCTCGAGCGGGGCCAGTTTCCGAAATTGTGGAGGACGGGGAAACTGGTCCTCATCCGAAAGGAGGGGCGCCCGGCGGACTCACCGTCCGCCTACCGGCCCATAGTGTTGCTTGACGAGGTGTGCAAGCTCTTTGAAAGAGTGATTGCAAGGCGCCTCGTCAAGCATCTCGTGATGGTTGGGCCGGATCTGGCGGACAACCAGTACGGTTTCCGTCAGGGGCGCTCCACCGTGGATGCGATCATGCGCGTGAAGGCTCTGGCGGAGGAAGCAGTCTCCCGGGGCGAAGTGGTGTTGGCGGTGTCCTTGGACATCGCCAACGCGTTCAACACTATGCCCTGGAGCTGCATCAGGGAGGCGCTCGTGTATCACGAAGTGCCTCTCTACCTCCGAAACATAGTCGGGGCATATTTGTCGGAGAGAGCCGTCGTCTACCCCAGTAGGACCGGTCTCGGTAGGCGTGAAATGTCGTGCGGTGTTCCGCAGGGGTCGGTGTTAGGGCCACTCTTGTGGAACATCGGCTACGACTGGGTGCTTCGTGGTACCTTCTTGGATGGTGTCGCCGTCGTGTGCTACGCGGACGACACACTCGTGACGGCGCGCGGCAAGACGCACCACGAGGCAACCCTGAGGGCCACGGCCGGGGTTGCCCAAGTCGTTGAGCGTATCCGGCGGCTGGGTCTCGAGGTGGCTCTGCACAAGTCCGAGGCCCTGTTCTTCCACGGGCTTCGGAGGAAGCCGCCTGAGGGATCTAGCCTCACGGTAGGAGGCACTCGCATCGGCATCGAGCCCTCGATCAGGTATCTGGGGCGCGTACTCGATGGCCGATGGGACTTCGGATATCATTTCCGAGGTCTGGTCCCCAAGTTGGTTGGGGCAGCGCGTGCGTTGGCGCGGCTGCTGCCCAACATGAAGGGACCCGATGACTCCTGCCGGAGACTCTACTCGGGGGTTGTGCGGTCCATGGCCCTTTACGGGTGCCCAGTATGGGCGGGGGCCCTGAAGGCCAGCAACGTCGCGATACTGCGGCGACCGCAGCGAATGCTGGCCATCAGGATCATAAGGGGGTACCGCACGATCTCCTTCGAGGCGGCGAGTCTTCTGGCCGGAACTCCACCGTGGGACCTGGAGGCGAGAGCCCTTGCAGCACTGTATCAGTGGCGCAAGGAGGCGCAGGAGTTGGGTCGATGCCCCGAGACTCGAGAAATCGAGGACCGGAAATCCCAACTCCGCCAGGTCATCATAGGGGAGTGGAGGGAACGACTCGGGCAACCGAGCGCCGGGCACGCCGTCATTGCGGCGGTAAGACCCGTTATGGAGGATTGGCTCGAGAGGCGTCACGGGACCCTCTCATACCGATTGACGCAGGTGATCACTGGGAAGGGATGTTTCGGAGATCACCTGTGTCTGATCCGCAAGGAGCCAACGCCTGAGTGCCACCACTGCGATGGCCAGACCGTGGACACGGCTCTCCACACGCTGGCAGAGTGCCCGGCGTGGGTTGAGCAGAGGCGAGACCTCGTGGCGGCCATCGGAGTGGGAGTTCTCTCGCTCGATAGCCTGATTGCGGCTATCGTGCGGAGCGAGAGTGCGTGGAACTCTGCCGTCTCCTTCTGCGAGCAAGTTATGCTCGCGAAGGAGACGGCGGAGCGGGACCGGGAGAGGTTTAGAACTCTCCCGGCCCGCCAGGCCCGGGCACGGGCCAGGCAGCGCAGGTCACTCAGGCGCCGGAGGGCGCAGAACGACCTCCGTCCTCCATAAGCGCAGGCCTGGGGGTGACAGGTGAGGCCATCTGTCACCCTAGCAGAAGCAGGCCGGGGTGGCGGCGAGCGCGTTGCGAAGCGCGCTCGCTTTCAGGGAGCACAGGGAACATGGGGTTCCCACACGGGGCGGGGGTCGTCTACTCGTCTGTAGATGACCCGAGGTATGTCGGGGCACCAGGGCCTTCCTTTCTAGGGTATACCTGGTTCCCCGGCTATTAGTACCCGGCGAAGGCGTGCGGTTTTAGTCGGTTCGAGTCCGACATGCCACCGACAGGTGGTATCCGAGGGGATTTCCGCACGGAAAAAAAAAAAAAAAAAAAAAAAAAGGACGTTGTGTGAAACCGCTCTATTAAGTAGTTGTAAAATAAATAGCTTGAGCAATCTGCTGCTGGCATCTTTGGATCAGTCGCTATCTCCAAAGTTATAATCTTGTTTTGATTCAGTTTTTGTTTATGTTCCACACATTTTTATTTGCGCTTATAAACATTGTAACCAGAAACTTGTAAATAAACACGCTGAGAAAGTTACCTTAGATTTTCTTACTTGTTTTTCCTTATAGGATTTATGTGCCACGTTCACGACTAACTTAGTCTAAATGATTACGATGACGACTTCAAATCACAAATAATAGCTAGATATGGGTACTGGCACCTATCTTGATCACTGACCTGTACCTGCGCAGAAGTCGAATTTTGTGTCCCTTTTGAGGTATGAAGTAGGACGGGGAGGCAATGAAATCAGTCAGTTTTTTTTCATTGGCTCACCGATATTGTCCCTGTTCCTGATTCGTTTTCTCGTACTTAAGTACGGCGAGTACACTTCCGCGCAAAATTAATAAGGTCTTTCTTTTTTTATTGATAATTTAATAATTTCTACTTTTGCTATTCATCAATTTAATATTCTAGCAATAATTAATTATATCCGTGATGGATTAAGTGATGTGCTTATTGCATACAAAACGGCAATTTCATAGGTAAAGACCTAATAACATAACAATATAACATGATATATGAGTATTAGTTTCACTAAGAACCAAATAACTATTTGATTTAATTCATTTATTTATTTTTATTAACTTTTTATAAGAAAATAATTCGTATATAAATAATTAGTTTGTTGATAGCTGCTCCAGCTAAAATAAAATGACTTTATATATTAATTTGGTATTTCATTGTAGTGTAGAACAATAAAAAACGTTGTTCATTGGCATAAAGCACATTAAATACAAACATGGCATGACCTTGGCGTGCGAGGCAAACTCCAGCTGTTGTCAAACTTTAGTAACAAAATAAACTGTTTTTCACCTGAAAAAATCTTGACATACCAATATACCTATATTTTTATATCAATTTTCGCTATTGGCTAATAAATGATTACCGACCTTTGTGCATCCCGGTGTGCTTATCTTTGAGTACTGTCAGCTCATAAATCTTGCCGAACTCCTCGAACATGGGCCGAAGATCTTCCTCCTCCAAGTGTCGTGGTATTTGTCCAATAAATAGCTTCACAGCATCCTTGCCAGCGCCAGGGGGCGCCCCGGTACGCTCTGCGTGCGTCAGGGGTGAGCCTCGTTTGGCGTCCATGCTGTAGTTGCTGTGGACTGGTGTCGTCGGTAGGCTGTTCACGCTCTCCGGCCTACTTTGACTAACACTGACCATACTTGGCATGCTATAACCCAACAACATAGGGTTAATGCTCCGGAGGTTCGGCCCCACAATCATGTCTATCACAGTAAACAGACTTCTAATGAACACGAATTATAAAAATCACAGTTCTTTGTACTCTATTTCCCTTAATCTATAAATTCGGTTTGCAAGTTTTTTTAAAGCTCACTCTTGTTTACTTTCGTTTTTTGGCGGAGGGCGAATGTTTAAGGTGGGGTGGGGGCGCGGTGCGTGAGTGTGCGTAGGGTCTGCGTCTGTGTGCGTTCCGTCTCTTCTCACAGTCACCCTGTAATGCGTAATATTATCGATCGCTATAGTAACAGTAGTAGGCAGTACAGCCGTCCCCCGTTTTTCTCACTGACGCTGATTTATTATAATGTATATTTATATTTAAAAATGTTACACTTTATTTATTTATTATTTAAATTATTTTTACACTAATAAATACACTATATTGCACATTGATTATAATTATTTACACCTTATTTCAAAAACATTTATTTAATTATTTTCTGTATTATTTAAATTAATTTTAATAGTAATTAAGTTTTTAAAAAGTTGGCACATTGATAAATATTTAAATTGGAATTTTGAGCGAAAATTTCTAAACTCTATTTTAAATTTACAGTAATTACTTTCCACTTAAATAATGTTGTAAAGTTTTTCGCTTCTAAAAAGTATAATGTTACAGTATGTTTACGTTGTTCGCGCGCCAAACGGGCCAATGTTTACAAACAAACCGTGAACACTAAAGACTATTTTTTATTTATATATTTTTCCACAATTGTTTATCTTTGATTGTTTACACACCAAATGTCACTATACACAAACCACAAGTGTCAATACGTATCAATATTTTTTTTTAATTACACTTAACACTAATATTACTTAACTAACTTAAATAAGGACTTGACGACGACGAACGATGACGTGACGCACAAACGAAAAGCACAAAACACGAACTAAATGAGACAACAAATCTGCCGTGTTCCCGTCTATATGCCTACATGTCCACTAACCTAAAATTCCCTCGGAGGTCCCCTCATAGCACACGCCATGGGGGAGCCTCCAGTCTTGATACAATCCTCCCTTTCACTCACCCTTAGATACGCGAGTAAATTCGCTTTGTGTGAATAGGTTGATTATTTGAAATTTCTTGTTTCTGTACACAGTTTTAGCTGTTGGGATGTGTTCGGCTTCACTCTTAAATTAGGTAATATATTCAATTCTAATAAAGGAAATACAATTTGATAAGAGGTAATTGCGTAACTTATAAAAAATTGTATTACACTTTGTAAATAATTTTCAGGAAATGATGGATTAATTGATGTATAAAATTAATCATATGTAATATATACAGCAAATATTATATATTTTATTAATTTTTGGGTAAAATATTTATTTATTTACTAGTTTTAGACTTATTTTAATAAAAGTTTGTTATTTATATATATTTTTAACGAGCTTAAAAAAGAAGGTAGTCTCTATTCCTTGGTTTTATGTATTTATACAATGTAGATATAAAAAAACAGATTGTAATTCTTTTTTAAGATAATTATTAGCGGTTTCATAAATTTTGATTAAATTTTAAGAGCCTTTTCCATTTTTTTAGCTTATCTTTACTTTTTATTTTACATTAAATTAATATTTAATGGAAAAGTTATTTTAAAGAGCATTAGTTCTGCCTCTTAATAAATAAGATCTAACAGAAAAAGGCGTTGTTACGACATTATTAATAAACACAGCTTAAACCTACATCAAGTGTTAAAGCCAAAAAAAAATCGGCTGTTGAATAATTTATCCAGCCGACGCTTAGGAGTCACTCGTAAAACCCAATGCCGAATTCGGTAAAAGGTCTTCAATGTTTGGTCGAGCTATAACTCAAGCCCCAAAAATAGCGAGGGATGAATCCTCCTCGCCCCACCCCGCTCAGCCTCCGATGATCTTTGCACGCAAACTCCTAATGGTTGTTTAGAAAAAATACATAAAGAGGTAACCCTACTTAAGTTATGTTTTTTTTATTTATGAACCTCTTGAGGAAAATTTATATGGTAATGTTATGACTTAATTATAGTGTTGCGAAAGTAAGTTACGGTTTTTTATGTAAAGACCGTAATTAATAATAATTCTGACATATTATTATACATGCTCACATTTATATTTGTGACGGGGTAAGTAGAGGTGTAGTAACTCTATATTTTGGTAAGATAATAGGGGTAGGTGAATTGCCGTCAATTTGGAAATTGAAGATAGGACAATTGGGAGTAGGTTTATTGAAAGGGTAAGGTAGAAGTAGTTAGGGTAACGGGTAAAGTAAAAGGGGATAGTAACTGAAGAAAGTGGAAACACTTAATATACGTACCGCTGGCGGATGACCTAGATCATGGTCGCGTACCCATGACTCGAACGGACTCTTGCCGGGAACTTCGAGCGAGCAAATAGTTAATTGTATTATAATAAATAATGTAATATGTTAATAAATTAGATAACAAAAAATACAAGGTTAAATAAAGTTAAGTTTTAGTACCGCGGTCAAGATTGAAGGTCCTTTCGGGCAAGATTAAATTATTAGAGTACAGTTTATTTTGTATATTTGTGACGTTAAGCGATAGCCTAGTGGTTAAGGACTTGCGATCAAGAGGTCGTTGGTTCGAATCTCGTTCGAGTTCTAAGCTTTTGCTGGTAAGTTTATAATATATAACACGGGCCTGTTGGTCTAGTGGTAAGTCACCCTGACGGCTAAGCCGGAGGTCATAAGTTCGATTCCCACCCATTTTCATTTGTTCTGTGTCTGTGTGTAATTTATCTATAATATATATGTTTAAAAAAAAATTTAAGTATGTTTATCAGCAGATTGGTTACCATAATACAGGTTCTGCCTAGTTTGGGACCAGACTGCCGTGTATGAGATGTATGAAGTTATTATTATAATTAATATATTGTAAACTTACCTGCAATAGAAAATGCGAGGTCCTACTCTGCCTTCTGTTATTTTCTAACTTAAATTTCCATAAGCTTTCAATTTTCCCATTCAATTTCAAAAGTGGCTGGCTGGCAGCTTAGGCTTACCCCCTATTACGTAGACAGCCTACCCCTTTGGGATATAGGCGCATGTGTATGAAATGTCTCATATCTGCCTACCCTTATTCCAATTTTATTTGGGGTCGGCGCAGGAAGTATGATTCTTCCATTCTACTCTATCATTCGTCATCTCACTGTTTACTCCCTTCCTATTTCCTCACTCACACCGACCATCCATCTTTTCTTTGACCTTTCTCTTCTCTTGTTCCCTTCAACTCGATGTGTATGAAATATTTATCTAACTTTTTAATATAGATTGATAAAATTCATTGGGATACTGGTTTCAAAAATATTCCAATAGGTTTTAGTTTTATTTTGTTTATACTATTTAAGCGTGTAAGCAGTTAAATAAATGTATATTCAGAGAAAATAATCAAAATCTTTTTACTTACGAAAAGCTTAAATAAATAGAGTACAAAATTACTGCTGTTTCCATATTTATGGCATCATTTAAGATATGATTTTATAAGCAAATGTGTATATGCTTGCCAGAGTATTTGTCAACATTAAATATCTAATGTAATATTTTATTCGGCAATATTTAAATAAGCCTTAACATGGATCCATCCATTCCGGATGTCACCGATTTGCTTAAACCTAGGTTAGTGGTACTGACTGCATAATTAGTGTGTTCTGTTGCCACTTTGACATATACCTGTATGATGCATGTGTCTTGTGCCTGGATAAAATTAACTTGTAATGTATATGTATTTACTTAGTTATAAGTATGTTTATCAGCAGTCTGGTTAAAATTTTACAGTCTAGTTTCAGATGTCTCCGGCGCCCGTGAGCGATAGATTTCAAGTTTTTACAGTAATTAATAAGCACTGATAAAAGTTACCGTCGAGTTATTTGATATAGGAATACAAATCACTTATGATTGCAGTTTTAAACAAAATATACTAAATAATAAAGACCATATGTTATTATTTAGAATATTAGACTTTAACTTTAGGTTCTTACATAAAATTAGCGCTTGACACAAACATAATAGATACTTGGTGTTCCGTGCATCAATTAGAGTACCGTTTGCTGCGGTCTCGGCCTCGTAACGTCCGTAGCATGCGATCCAACGACCAAATTCTACAAACCACAAATGCTCGGACAGCACGCTGATATTTTGATGTTAGTTTTTTGGTTGTAAAGAGACGAAAAGTATATTTTATAACATTTATTCAATTTAATATCTATTCCACAGTAACCAACCAATCATAATCATGGTTACAGACTACAAACAAACACTAACATACATATGTATTGCTGAAGTACACACACGCTAATGTGTGTGCTTCAGCAATACTGCACGGATGGCGTAGTGGTTTCCGCGATCACCTCGCTGCTTCCTCCTGCGCTAAGTGTTGTGGGTTTGATCCCCACATAACACAACACTTTGTGTTATCCACAAATTGTTGTTCTGAGTTTGGATGTCCTTTGTGTCCGTTTCATGTATGTTTGTAAAGTCCTGTGTCGCGGTGGGCTGCCTTCATAGACACGATTGATTCCTAGTACGGGAATTATCTTTGTAAAGGTAAGTTTGTTTAGTTTGCAGTTAGATACTGAAAAATTTCATTACACAATGTTTGAAAAGGTAGTTAAACCATTTCCACCGCTTACTCAAACTCAAATATTCTTTATTGAGTAGACCTTGTTACAGCATGTTCAAACGCCAGTAGTATAATTTATAATCGAATTTAAAAAAGATTACTCTAAGACATGTCTATCAAATTGCAACAAAAAGATGTACCCGGAGTAGACAAAATATAAAATCTGTTTCAGATTGCAAACACGCACTTTTAATAAACGATTGACAGACATGAAAATATAACAGGAAATATTTTAGAAGTGTGTAGGACTGGTGATATAAATGTTATTTATTATGTAATACATATTGTGATATTCTAGTGAATATTTTCTAACACAATTTTTATTTAAATACATACTGTTAAGATGGGTATAATTATTTTCACAGTTATACA